CCTCAGCTCCTTCCTGGCCGCTGCCTTGGGGAAGGCGACGCGCGGTGTCACGAGTCAGCGTGTTAATGAAGCAGCGGCCTAACGTAGGTTCTCCTCGTTAAAGTACCGGGGTCGTTGTTGCAGCTTGTGGCTCTGGAGCCTGCGGCGGTGGGGGAGCGGGAAGGAGGTGCCTTCGGTGGGCGGCTGATAGCGCCGGGGTGTTGCGTGGCTGTGGCGGGGGGTGGCTGTATTTGAGTTTACATTTTGGTTATGGATGTCGTCCCCGAGCTGGGTGGTTTTGCAGTAGTCCTAGCTCAGATAGTTTATGCTTCCTTCTCCCAGGTCCGGGGCAGGTGTTGTGGCAAGGATGAGTTAAACAGCAGATGTGTACCATCATCTTAGTGTTCTGATTGCCCTGTGCGTGAGGAGTCAGTGTTTTGTAGTAATCCATAAGGCACAACATTTTGGTTATGGATGTCGTCCCCGAGCTGGGTGGTTTTGCAGTAGTCCTAGCTCAGATAGTTTATGCTTCCTTCTCCCAGGTCCGGGGCAGGTGTTGTGGCAAGGATGAGTTAAACAGCAGATGTGTACCATCATCTTAGTGTTCTGATTGCCCTGTGCGTGAGGAGTCAGTGTTTTGTAGTAATCCATAAGGCACAAAGCTCAGTATAACCGTAGGTGCCATAGGGAGAAGCCAGTGTCCATTGTAATTTCTGGTTCCTTTGCTGATCAGACAGGCCTGGCCTCCTCCTCCTGAAAACTGCACTTTTTGAAGAAATGAGTGACTGCTGATCTTTGAAGAAACAGGGTTCACGTTTCTGTTTCTTTTTCCTTGCTTTTATTATAAATGTGGCTTGTATTGCATGTTTTGTAACTGTATTTCTTTTTTTAGAGGACAAGAAATTAGTCTAGATGCAGTAAATGAGGAAAAAGTCAATAGAAATGGAGGAAAGGAAAATCAAGAGGAGGAGCCCCAAGTCTTCCACCGCTCACCCTGCTCAGGTTGCTAATTCTAAGAAAAGCTCAGTGCCCGTCAGTAAAAGTACAGCCTTTTCAAATCCTGCGCCCCAGCCTGCAGTGCAGAAACCAAAATTAAAACGGTAAGCTCGAGGGCATCTTGCAAGCTCAGTGTTAGAGTCGGGAACCCGCCAATGTAGGACAGACTATTGAATCCAAAGTGATTGGCCCACACAGAATGACAGAATGAAAAAAAAGAAATCCAGATTTGTGAAAATACTTGATGATTTTTTAAACAACTCAGTTTTATTCAACAGAAATAAAAGCTATTTGGTACATGCGTACTCGTCTTGTAAGCTTTATAGTATGTTACACAATGTGCGCCCACACTGATAAAGATTTGGCTGGTGCAGTTGGTGAAGAACAGGATCAAACGTGGCAGAGCTGGTCACTGTAAAATGGCAGGTAGCAGAGCCCTGGATGTACAACCATGAGGAATGAACACAGCATAACTGCAGGGTTGGAACTGCTCACAAGTGGGACAGAAAATGAAGGGCACGAATTGAATGGGATGAGCTAGAATAGGAATTTTCAGCTGTTTTTTGTTTGGGGAGCTATCACTAAGGGCAGCAGTAGCTTCTGGGCATCCTCACGCAGAAAGAGGCATTCAGCTATTCAGAAAGTGACACTTTGAAGTAGTTTACATTGTTATTAATGCTATATTTCAGTTTGAGGATGTTAATTTTCATGCATGTGGGAAAATGTTTCTTGGCTGTGGCAGAAAAAGCAGATAAATGAGCGGAGAGGGATTTGACTGTGAGCTTTTAGCTGGAGAGGCAGCTGAGTTACTGACCTGTGAGTAACAGCCGAAGATTAAGCACTAAACTGTCGTGCCAAACGCTGACAGAGTATTGGAAAGACCCAGTCCTGGCAGGGTGGAAGTACTGTATGTAGCTTCACTGTAAAGCCTTCATGTGCTACTTTTGAGGGAAAAATGCATTGATGTTTTGAGGTGTTTCCAGTTAGTCTAGAGTTTACTCTCTACTTTGTAGAGTTAGGACTAAAAAACATTCTTGAATTCACCATGAGATTATTTCTTGTAGCCCACAATATAGTCTAGAGAGGAAAATGTCCTTTCTTTGAAAATAACTTTTTTTGTTTTAAATTTTGGAGATGGACATTGCTGCATGGGTGCTTAGGGAAGCCAAGGTGTGAGAAAGTGAATGATTTCTAGAACTTTCCAGTCAAGAAATGGAGCTATGCCAGGATGAAGTGTTGTTGTGATACTGGAGTAGGAGTATTTATTTTCACTTTCTCTGCATTCTTGTGTCTCATGGACTTCAAAATACTGAAAAGTATACTTTATTTTTCATTTAAAAATAAAGGGAGTTACAAGGATACATTCTTAATTAAATAGTTATTTTTGATATATATATATTATAAATTTCAAATGTAAGAAGTTTCTGGAAGTGGTAATATATTGTATTATAAAAACCATAGATACATGAATAGGCAAATTAGGGATGGAAGAAATGCCCTTTTGCCTGCATCTGGTGTTAGGTTTGGATGCAGCCTTGCAGTCCATGCTTGGATGACCCGTAAAGATGGAGTGCAGTAATTCTTGCTGGTAATTATGTGCTTTGTCCCTGTATTGGCTGCGTGTTCCTTTGGGTTTATAATGATTGTTCCGTTTTATACACATAGTTTCCATGGATACATGCTGCTCTGGGTAAAAATTTTTGAGAAAATATCTCTAGGATCTAGGAATTCTGATGGTTTTGTGCAGTAGGGTGCCATAGAGATTTTTTTCCTCTATTTGTTCTATAGTTCTGTTAGCCCTGTGTTAGTGTACAGGGAGGAGGTTGGTTTTGGTGATGGCTTAGCAGAATTTGGAGGCTGTTGGAAGGTGAGAAAACTTCTCTGAGGGCAAGGCCATCTTCTCTGTCATCTGGACTCTAATGAGTGGTTTTCCATGCTGGTCCCAGAGTAGACAACGGGAGCGTAGTAGCAGTGGGGGGTTTCTCTTGGGACTGAAGGGGTTTTCACATGCTGTTTGGTTGGTTTTGGAATATATCAGATTCTCATACCCCCTTATTCCTTGCTGGGTCCTTGGTGAATTATTAAGGCAGCTCTTCTCTCCTCAGAGCCTCTACTGATGGGAAAGCAGTTTGCTGGAATCCTTCCTTTTGCAGTGTCAAATTGTCAAGATAGTGATACTGTTCTTTGTATTTAAGACAAACTTGTCATACTTTTTTTTAAAAAAAAATAAAAGGTAGTAATTGAAATAACCATCTTATATTTCCCATTTCATTTTTAGAGTCATGCTACATTTTAAATCTTCAGCAGAAGGGAAAACAGGAAGTAATGTTTTATTTTGTTTTGTTCAATCAATCAATCTGTTTAATTTCTTTAGAGTGATAAAAGAAAAAGCTAAACCTCCAGGAGGGGAACCCAAAGGGGCACAGGCAGCACCAATCCAGCATTCTTTTCTCACAGATGTATCAGATGTCCAAGAAATGGAAAGGGGACTTCTCAGTCTCCTGAATGACTTCCACTCTGGCAAACTTCAAGCATTTGGCAAGTACCTGGGTTATCTTTATGTAATCGTTGCTTTTATGGCTATCTGATGGTAATTTTTGCAAACAAATATGCTGTATGGACAGAGGAACAGTTGGTCACATTGGTCTCTATAGGAAATGAAGTTAAGGATAACATAGAAGATCTGACTGCATTTTTAAATGGTAACCCTGTTACCTGTGAGCTTGGCTTCAGTGTGAGCTGGTTCAGGCACCATTTCTTGGTGCCTTCCAGCCAACCCAGCTCACTCAGGGCAGTACCTTGCCTTATAGATCCAAGATACTGAGTCTAAAACATTAGTACATATAGTCTAAATGTAGTAAGAAATTATTTTGATCTCTTTTAGTACCTGATTTTGTACCATATTAACCCTAGCGCACTCCCTGTGTCATTGCTGAGAGTCTAAAATCTCAGCAATGACTCTTATAGAATCCAAATTAGGTTGCTTTTTACCAACACAAGTGACTCCTTGGGCCTTAGCATCATATATTTTAATATTGTAAGTGATCTACAGTAGATGGAGGTTTTAAAAAAGCTATGGGAGATTCTGTCGCTTTTTTTTTTCTGTACTCTTTAGAAAGATTTGTATATATTTTTGCAAGCTAAGAGATAGGTCAGCGTGTCACATTAGCTTCAGCTTCTTTTGCAGAATCAAACTGGAAGCTTCTCTGATATAGAAGGTGTCAGAAGAGAGAACCCCAGGAATAATCAAAGAAGGGAGAAGATTTATTATGGTCATACCTACATTTAAAAATACAGGATCCTCTTAATATGAGACAAATTCAGACCATAGCCAGCAACTGTATACTGAAAAAACAGTGTAGTACAATTGGTGGTTATCATTAGATGCAGCACATATTAATTTCGAATGGGTGGGCAGAAACCTCAGCTGTGAAGCAGGATGAACTCATGCAGAAAGTAAGGCTGATGTTTAGATTTGCCTTGTCAGGTCGAGTTGTAAGATGTTTTTTTTCTATCTGCTCTGACTTGGCACCTTGGTCTGCTCCTTCAGTTGTCCTTCCCTAAAGCTTTCGGTGTGTCTGTTTGCTGGTGCCTTTCAGGAAACGAGTGCTCCATAGAGCAGATGGAGCACGTGCGGAGCATGCAGGAGAAGCTAGCCCGTCTCAACCTGGAGCTCTACGGGGAGCTGGAGGAGCTCCCTGAAGACAAAAGGAAACTAGCCAGTGACTCCAACTTGGATAGGCTGCTGTCTGATGTGAGTAAAGGGAAGGCCGGAAAACAAGGGACTTTGTCCCCAGAACTGGACTCGGGAAGAAAACACTCCACTGGTTGGGTGGTGCTTCAGCCTACTTTCTGTGGAATTTGCAGTTGAGGAAAACAGCTCTGTTGCCAGCCTTAGTTGCTTCATATTGGTTTGGAGAAACCAATGTGTTTTTGTGTTTTGTTGTTTGTGCAGCGCCTTGTGTTTTCCTTCTTTATAGGCTGCTGTTTATTTTGGTGATTATCAGCCCTATATGTAGGGGAGATTCCCCCTAACAAGGAATTTTGGTATTCTAGACACTCAATTTCCCACTTCATTACTGTGTTGTTTCTGTAAACAACGAAGTTAACATTTCTTTATTTTTTTTTAAGATTTCCTTAGGTCTAATTTGGTACTTAATTGCTGGTGTAGAATTCAGTGCAAGTTTGCTTTGCTTTTTGTAATTAAAATATTTCTATTTAAGCTAATAATCATTAGATTTTTATCACCATTTTAATATATTTATTTCAGCATATTAGCAAATTGTTGCATTTGACTAACCTAAATACCATTTCTGATTCTTTCTACATTTGTGTTGCAGCTGGAAGAACTGAATTCATCTATGTATCCTTTTTATTAAATACCTATTTATGCCTATTTTGCATTATAATTACTAGTTATAATTGAATTATACTTCACCAGTAACTGTGTCTTCACAGGAGTCAAATCTTTTCCACATTATCCCTTCTTTTTAATTAGTACTGTAGTATATCATGAGCTGTAAGTTTTTTTCCAGCATACAAATGGCTGGATCTTAAACTTTTAGATGCAAGCTGTTTTCCATGGGGCAGTGTATTTAGCTGGTACAGCACTTCAGACAACCTGTTGACACTGGATGGCAGAACCCAGCAGAAACAAATTTTCTTTGAATATATTTTGCTGAGAAACTCTGAGACAAGCATACATAGCAGTACTCCCTCTTGGCATTCAGAAATGTTCTGTCCCACAGATAAATGACTCCCTTTACTTCTTTTAAGAAAGAAGAAAATAAATGTATGCAGCTGTTCATTATTGGCTCTGCTCAGAATGCTGTGGTAACTTGCCACAGACTGTGGTTGTGTCAGTTATTTTAACTGAGCTTTGGTAACTGAACACGGGTGCTCGTAGCCCATCCAGAAGACGAAGCTAAACGTCATGTTTATTTTCTCCGCTGTGCTTCGGGTGAGCTGTGAGTACAGGTGGCAGGAAACGCATGCTCAGTCTGCACTGTGGTGTAGCTGCTCCCTGCGGATGGCCAGGCCAGCCTGGAGGGCTGTTGGAGGGCGCAGAGCTCCTGGGAGGGCACGTGGAACCCAGCGGTCATGATAGGAGTCCTCTGGCCTCCTCCTTCATGCCCAGCTTACTGTGGTGGGTGGTGATGCCCTGGGCTCCGTGAGGAGGGTTGGTTTTGAGGTGAATGCAGTGCCGAGCCCAGGCTAGTGTTTCTCTAGTAGCCAGGCTCTTTCCAGAGCAGCAGGCCCCAGTGCAGCAGAGCTTCCCGTAGTGCTGCCATCCCTGTGGAAGCTCCACTCCTTAACGGTTTGCTCCAGACAAAAGCTACATTTAGCAGATGCTCAGGATATTCCAAACGGTACCACAGGCTGAAGGTGCAGCTTTCCTCTTTGGGATTCTCCCAGAAACTTTACTGCTGTTTTTCCTACCTGTGGAATCTAGAGTTTTTATTTTACAAAACAAAGAATCAAAGTGTAAATTCGGGAGTTTATTTTTACACGTTCCTCTTTGAGCACGGCATTATATCAGGACTCACTACCTAGAGATTTTATTATGTTGCTGTGATGCTGTGCTTTATATTATTGCCTTATTTAATAGGAAAAATTGGGGTAACAGGGAAGTACATTTCTTCTGCCTGGTGTTCTTCATATGTCTGAAGTGATATACGTATGGAAGATCACTGGTATTTCTCCAGTTTCGATCGAGGTAGCAGTGTTGCTACCTTTCTGATCTATATGTAGACAATCTACACACTGTCTTCAGTGTGTTTTGCTGACCAGTGATGCTATTGAGTTTTTATTAATTTATTAATAAAAGACACTTTAAGTACACAGTGTGTTTTATTTAGAGAAGTTGCTTTCTCTTCAGCTGTGTTAAGATGTGAACTCTTGCATGGTCTGCAGACTTGATTCTTCCACTGCTCTGAATAATTGTAAAATGTCACTAAGTCAGAACTATCTTACAAGCTTGCAGTTCACATAATTGGGTTAAGTATTGTGAAAAATCCAAAACTGGATAAATGCAGTTCCTGTTCAATAAATCAGTAAACAAGTTTCCTTCTCACTTTCTTTATTTTCTAGCAAAACATCCATTACATTAGTGAAACTTTTAGTTATTCCAAGGGTAGGCACAAGAAGAAGCATACAGTAAAGTCTGTGCACTTCTGCTCATAGATTTTCTGCCCACGTAGCGATATATGTTTTTCAGTAAGTTGTTGATGGACCAAAGGCTCATAAATCAGGCTGCCAACAAGCAAACACAAACTGGTCCTATCATAGTGAGCGATTAAAAAAAGAGCTGCTAAACTAAAGCCCTGGCATTAGCAGCCAATCCTCTGTTATAAATAATCTGGTATAAATTAGTATTTTTGTGTTAAGAGCCAGAGGAGGGGAAAAAAAAACATATTAGTGTAACCACTGGCTCATTTTAGATGCAGTATTTCAGCACTGGCCCACCAAAATACGCGTTTGGTACTAGCTTTACTTTATATGCAGCTTTTAAATAATACGCTCAGATTACCTTCTGTGTATCCTTTCTCTACAACAAGTGAAATCTTTATCCTGCTTCAGAGTGAAGCTCTCATCATGTGTAAGGTCAGGGCTAAAAGAGGCACTGTGAGAGAAGAAGCTTCTTCAGGCAGGAGCCAGAGCCCTGCGGGCCTTCAGCTCCAGCTCCAAGTCCGCACACGGGAGCAGGTCCCAGAAGGATGATGTGAACAGCAGCGGGCCCTGGCCCCGGCTTCAGCCCCACACACTGACACTCAGCGCTTGGCTCAGCTGCCAGGCCCAGGGCAGTAGCTGAGCAGTGGGATTCCGGGCTCCTTCCTTCGGGGGAGTCTCTAGGGCTTTTACATGCCAGCAGAATTGCCTAGAGCTCCCTAGCTGCTGTTGGAGGCGGAGCCAAAGAGAACTTCAGAGAGGCAGAGAGGATGGTTGTACTCCTCTCAAAATGGAGCCAGGTAATTTCATAAGGTGAAAGTGATGGTGCCAGAAATGCTCCATTTTCTTACAGATTCATTAAACAGAAATTCAGTGATGGTTCTGCTCTGCTGACCAAACAAACCAAAGAAGCTGTTGCCTTGCACTTTAATCACCACTCAAGATCATTTGCACTTTAATCAACCCTCATGCCATCGTGTGGCACCACTCAAGCTATGTACATTAATCTCTTCTTTCCATACGCAAACACTGAGTTCTGAGATTGCTCAGCATTGCTAGTACAGAACGTGTTTCAGCATGTATGACAAAAAATCCATTGGCTTTTAATTATAAGTAATTAAATTTGCTGTCATTGATTTATGCTTCGTGCAATCTCATTATAAGTCATCATAAAGCACTGCCTTTATTCCTCGTGGCTTCCTTCCTCTTATTTTTTTTTTAAATAAGGAACAAGTGAATGAGTACCTACCAAATGCTCCTATTGACCTCTGAGAAGTACCAGTCATCATGCAGTATAAAACATTTCATAGTGGGAATAAGACTTCCAACCAGGCTCCAGGTAACTGCACTGCAAATGAAAACAAAAGAAAGAAAAAAAAATATTTTAAATTTGATACACATGCATCAGTAAAGCTATATACATAGTCTATAGTAATCTATATACATCTCCAGTGGGCTCATAGCAATGGATGACGGGATCGTGGCTGTTCAGGCAAATGGAGAGAAGCAGCAGATCAGCTGGTATCTCAGTGTGTAGCTGCCAGTCTAGAAAGACTTCATACCACACATGACTAAGCCTAGTTGCATGTTGGCTTTTTTGTTTGTTTTGTTTTGCTCTTGAGTTGACATTGCTATGAACAGTTTTAAAAATTTCTTAACAAAAATGTTTCTTTCTGTTCTGCATTGTTACTCTGTATTATAAAAATCTAACTAAAAGCTTGTAGGAAAAAGATACTGCTTCAAAAATCATAATCTTTCAGCACTGCTTTTGAAGACACAAAATATGTGTCTGGTTTTAATATGGCAGCAGAGAAACCAATTGTATCAGCCTCTTTAAAAACACATCTAAGATGTTCAAAACATCTTGGACACAATTTCAACCCAAAAGACTAAGCGACTCTCAGAAGACAATGATTGCACTTAACATTAGCATATTGCACTTAACAACATTAAAAAATGCAGGTGTCTGCTCACATCATTTGGCTTTTGTAATGCCAACAGCTCCCTGGGGGAGCTGAGCTGCTGTCTTCATCCCCGCTGACGCATCCATCTCTGTTTCTGAGGCAGGGCTCATCCTCTACTGCGGCGCTGGAAGCACTTGCAGGAGATGCACTGTAAAATGCAAGGCCTTCTGTTTAATGGAAACCGTGAGGGTTTTATCCTAAGACCATGAAATTTGAGGTTGCATGGAGACCTGGTTTCTAAGCAAGGCAGCATCTGGAAAGGCCAACTCTTTTCTTACATTCTAGATTGGCCTCAAACTATTTTTCCCAGGAATGCATATTAGTTCAGCCGATCTAATTTAATATTACAAATGTAGATACAGAGGGGTGCACAGAACAAAAATAGTTTGCAGTAGCAAGAGGTTGCTAGTCTGAAGTGGAAAACTGGAGACCTGTTTCCTACTTTTTGTTTTGTTGTTTCTCAACAGTGGAATATTAATATATTTTGAAAGTTGTGCTTCCCTCAGGCTGTCTTTGTGAAAAGGCAAGTGTGTTCTGTGCAAATTTAGAAAGAAACTGATTTTTTTTTTTTTCTTTTACAACCACCAAAGCATGCCTTTAAACTCCATGCATCCCCATAGGACAACTCTGCCATCCAAAAAAGCATGACATGATCTAAAACAGAAGAGCTGATCCACATAATTTCAGAAATCCATAGTTTCACCTTATTAGGTCATGAAGTTTGTTTTCCTGCTAGAAAAGCTGGCTTTCAGCAGTGAATGAAAAATATTTTACAACAGAAGTTTCTATTACTTCTGTAAACATATTTAACCAAATAAACATTGGCAAGCTGGATTATGAGTAAAAACCACCACAGGTGCTCCTTTTGGATTGTTTCAGAAACATTTTAAAGCTAACCTTTACAATATTAAATAGGCATTACTAAAGATAGAAATTCACAGTGTCATTTTGAAAGATGTGTAAACCTGGGACACCCTTGAGGATGAAACAAATGGAAACAAGTTGCTCTTTGTTACTAGTCAACTTGAACACAACCAATCCTATTTCCCATAGACATGTCTGTTTAGATTGGCAAGCAGTCTTTGTATAGAATTTGATAAATATTAAGGAGTGCTGAACTTAAAAAGTAAAATGGTAATTAGGCCTCCTTCTCTAACAGCACACTATGAAGGAAATGGTTTTTTCTGCAGTCTTCATCTCTCCACTTAAGTGATTTCAATCTGTAAAATAAGCACTTCTGTAATAGCATGAATAGGTTAGAAAAAGGGGGGAAATGTCATTTTAGAGTGCCTGAACTTTACTGCAGCAGCTCCAATTCAAACCACTAGCACAGGCACAGTGGTTTCAAACCACACGCACGTGTAAGATAAACTAACCCTTACAAGAATTGCAAGAAGGATGTGTGCCAAGATAAACCAATGTGCTGTGTACAACTCCCCAGCAAAATATTAGTTGTCCATATAGCTATTTACTGACCTTGCAGTATTTATCAGCAATATACCATAAGGCATCTAAGATTTTGTACTTTTCCTCAGTTTATATTTGGTATCAAATCAACAGCAAAACTGAACACTGAGTAGGCCAGACTCTGGCAGGGGCATTGTTCGAATCCATTTGCAGATAAAAAACCAGTATTTAATACGTGAAGGAAACAACACCACATAAGAACAGGTGTTACACCCTGATAACTTTGTTATGATATAAATACTCCTGCAGCGCTTCGGCGGGCGGCTCTCCTGGCTCTGGTCCTGCGGCGCTCGTCTCTCCTCACCGCCACACGGGAGCCCTGACAGGCCGTGTCTGCCGGACACGGCCGCTGGGCACAGGCTCCGGGCTAGGCCCCGCCAGGTGCCACCTTCTGCTCTCTGGGGACCCTCTCCAGCGCAAGGGCTGGTGCTGGCGCTGGAGCTACCAAGACGAGAGCACCTGCAGTGCATCCTCCTCACTAGGCCTTCCCACCCCCGCCATGTGGAAAGGCCTCATGGAGGGCCAGGCCTGAACTGCAACCCCCAGCGCAAGCTCCATTTTTTCCTCTTAAAATCACCACCATGATTCGGCACTCCAGGCGCCAGCTCCGTGATCCCATATGAATGGCATAACCCAGGGATAATCTTTGACTGATGGCTTTGTTCTCAGAATGACTGGATGCTGCAGACCAATAAAAATATAATAAACCAGGAGATAAGGCAAAGAAGAATCAGTTTTACATTAATACTTCTCTAGTGAGAAGTATTTTTCATTTGGGTTTTGAAAAATTGCAACACAGTTTGCATAACATTTAATGAGGAATTTTAAAATTATATATTTAATACATCTATTTCCTCTAAGCAATAATGTATTTTATAATTGGTTTAAGCAAGTTTCAGAGAAAGATGTCCAACTGACAGCAGATTACTACAACGTCACTTGGTTTTTTGAGGGTGTCAAATTGCTTTTGATGATTTTTTAACTGGATTTTTTATTTTTCACCCAAAACTGAATTTTTAAATCTGCCCTCACAGTGGCTATTTTTGACTACTGAAACAATTGCAGGCTAAGGTGCTTCATACAGAGTCCCAAAATAAATTGGTCCTGACTTTTAGGATGTTTGAAAACTTTTTGAAGAACTACCATTATTGACTTAGTTTTTACTTAAAATTAAGCTCACTTCCTTTTAGTTTTGCGTAGGAATGTGGAATTTGTTAA